CGGGAGGGGGGTACAAATTTTGCCTTTGCTCCCGGGTGCAATACACCCTCGCTATGCCACTGGAAGGGATGCAGGGAGGAGATTGAAATGTATAACTGTTGGAAGAAGTTGGAAGAGTAAACAAAATAAACTTGCAAAGGAGGAAGTCCATGTTCTCCCTGGATTTTCTTTAGACTAGAGACATTCAGTGGCTTAGGAGCAGGAACGGTACAGGGGATGTGAAACGAGGTTGAAGATTGTTAAAATGGATGGAATTGAATGAGAACATAGGACTGGAGAGCAGTCATGAGAATGAAGTCAGAAGAATGAATAATGGAATTGAGGAGAGGTGGGAGTTGGGTGCTGTACTGAAAAGACATTTGGAAGAGTTTTCTGATGGGACTTATGAAATTCTACTCTTGAATCTGCATGAGTGCATCATGCTGCAATGCACTTTATATACTTGGAAAACTTTCTGCTGGGGTGCACCTCTCCAGTGTGTTATCAGTAGTGGAAGCTGTATAAATAGCTGTTCAGGATTAGGTGAAATGGTGGATGAGTTGCCTGACAATGGAAGTGGTGCAAAAAAATGCTTCATTGTCCAAGTGCACCTTTAAAGCCTTGATGCCTAAACTTGGGGAGGGGGCCTGGCAGGAAAGAAGGGGGGGGACTGTAATTCACGTCTGATGCAGCTGTCGGTGGTGGTGTGGTGGCATTAGAGGACGTTCAAGTGGATGTGGGCATTTATAGCACCATGATGTCCAACCCATCTCAGAGCAGGATCTGGTGACAAGGTAATAATACCTGAACGCTATCTACCTTGAAACTTCTGCTGTTGTGGTCATTGGTAGAGCTGTACTTGTTGACCCCATTAGTGAATTTTGACAGTGTCAAAGCAACCAAAGTGATGTTATGTGTAGCAGTTTTTTTAGTATTCTGTACATGATGCTGAGATGTTTGGGATCTAGCTTGTCTTTTGGATTATGCTTTCCTCCTCCTCCATGGTAAGGAAACTGATGTGTAGACCCCTTGCAGTGCCAGAAGTTAATTTAAATCAAGGACCATGGTATTGCCAATACCATTATAATGTGAAATACTGATGGTAATTTTTGGTTGTACGTTGCACTGAAAACCTTGACAAGGGGAGGGTGACATTTTAAAATACAATACTTCTGTCCCTACTGATGGTAATTTTTGGTTGTACGTTACACTGAAAACCTTGACAAGGGGGGGGTGACATTTTAAAATACAATACTTTTGTCCTATTAAAGGTAATACTAGTCTGCATTGCTTTCTGACAGCTTAATAGTTATGTATACTGAATGTGAATTGTAATCTGTTTTGCAGCATTCTTCTGTTTATGGTTGACTATTTGTTTTTAACTATACCAAGAAAACTGTGCAAATAAACTTCTGCTTAGTGCTTAGAGGGGGCAGATAAGTAAATGGCCTATCTGGAAACCTGGTGGTAGATGATTTGCTGATGACCATGTCATGATTGCTTCTATAGAATTACTTTGTCTCTCTCCTCTTTCTTTCAGGATGCTCTTTAAAGAAAGTCGAAGTGTTCACAATCATCTCACTTCTGCTCCGTGAGTATAAAGCTGGCACCTGCTGGTATCTTTTTTTTGTGCTTCAGTTGTCTGGGTAGCTGTGGCAAGTCTTGTGTGTTGCTCTACTCCTTAGGAATTCAGATGGATTATGGATTATTTTCACTGCTTCTACCTCCTGCTTTTTGTTTTGTTTTTCTGCTTGAGTAGCTTTAAAATATACCCAATTTTTTTCTTTTAATGATTTAACTCTCTGACCTACCATTTTGGTGTCCTTGAGGCATTGTGGTTTGTGGAATTCAAGCATGAAGTGGTTAAATATCTGGAACAGATATTAATACTGGTATAACACCTTTCATCCAAGGATTTCCGAGTGATTTACAAATCCTAAACTTTGCTACACCCTTAGCAAATAAGTATTGTAGCATGTGGGTATTTCTCTCACTTTTCCTCTCTTGGCTTCACTCCACAAAAACCTATCTAGTAAGATATCCACTCTGGTGTAAGTAAAACTCTACCTTCTCTAGCCCTCAAACAACACTAGTGCTGTTGCCTTCTCTGTGAGGAGTCTTTGTAGTTCAGCCAGAATTAGAATACTTATTTATAACTTGGAGCACAAAGCGACTTGTAACTCCCAGGATAAGCAAAAAACAAAACAATTCTTAATCTTACCAATAGTAACAGCAGATCTGAACAGTGGTCCATAAAGTATGAACTATGGTCCATATATGGTTTCAAACATGGCTATTACCAAATGCTTCAGAGAAGGGCATAAAAACAGTATATTGCAGAAAAATATTTAATCCCTCGAGGAAATTGAAGGGCAAAAGTATGTGTACAGTGGAGGGTACAGGTGAGTGAATAGTAGTCCTCAGACTTTGAAGCTAAGAAATGTTAGTTCTTATAATTATTTGAGTTGGTATAACGACAGATGCTATTCATATTAATTTAAATGATTAATTATTTTTGCATCTTACCAAACTGGTTGTTTCAGTAACACAAGTGCCAAAAGTTAATTGTGACCATTTTGCCATTTTATAAGCTTGTCAGACAGAAATTTAGTCTTTTTTGCTTTTTTGTCTATTTTAATATTTATTTCTTCTGTATGGTTTGACAACTCAATACAGATGTAAAAACATTCAGGACACCCAGGTGTTATAGGTTGTTCTCAATTATAATAGAAGGTATATAAGCCACTTTTATCTGAATAATAAGATTTCATGATTGATTCAGACATTCTTGGCTTCAGAGTGACCATGTGAAGTGATAGAAACCACAAGTATTTTGAGCTCTTTTTCAGAGTGACCATGTGAAGTGATAGAAACCACTACAAGTATTTTGAGCTCTTCTTGTTGCAGAATATCACCAGATTCCATCATTACTAGGATTTGTAGTCTGTTACCAATCCAATCTACATATTTTGAAACTAAACCTATGCAACAGCAAGACATGCATCTATGCCACATTAATAGTTCTAGGCCAGGGGTTGGCAATAATTTTCAAGGGGGCACTTAATGAATTTTGGTACATGGTCCTGGGCCTCCTCCACCCCCGGAACAGATCTGGTCTAAGGTGGAAGGGGCAAGGCTGAGACCAGCCTTCCCCCTAGGATTGTCTGGACCTGGAGGCACGCAACTAGGAGACATTTAAATAGGATCTGCTGCCTGAGCCACTGCCTGACAATTTAATGGCATGGGTAGGAGCATATAAATAGAAAGTGGTCAGATGCAGTCTGCGAGCCAGATCACAGTGTTAGGGGGGCTGGATCCAGTCCGCGAGCTGCATCTTGCCCTGAAAGTGTTAGGTGGGCTGGATCCAGTCCGCGGGCTGCATCTTGCCCTACCCTGTTCTAGACCATTGTAATACCAGTGGTAACTCATCCAACCATCATCCTTACTGTACACCTAATTTGCATGCAACAGTTTCCTTGATTGTGAGGCAGATTGCACGTTGGTGAATTATTTGGCTCAGCTGCCATGTCTGTGTAACACAACAGGCTTCCAAATATGAGAGATGACTCCAGTTTGTACAAAGCTATAGCAGCTACTAAATAGGCGTAAACAGTTGTCCCTGAAATAGGCTGAAATATGAGTTTACATTAAACAGTGTATTCTCTGTAAATAGGAATAAAAATATTCTCTGCCTCAGGAGTACAAAATGAGAGAGCTGCTTTTAACTTAGTTAGTCAGCAAATACGTCAGATGTTTTTCAAACTATGGGTCATGACCTCATACTGGGTTGTGCAAAGTTGGGCACTAAATCTTATTACTGCAGGGTGGTCAGGTGACCAGTGGGGGGTGCTAAGGCAAGTAGCCTGCCTGTCCTGGCATCGCAGAGTGCAGTGCGCCCCAGAAGCGGCTGGCAACAGGACCAGCTCCTAGCTGAGGCCGGGGGACAGAAGAGCACACCGGTCTCTGAGCACTAGCCCTGCACTCCATTGGCTGGGAGCCTGCTTTTGGCTGCTTCTGGGGTAGGGATGTGAACAGACCAGCTCCTAGGTGAGGCCGGGGGACAGAAGAGCACACCATGTTCTGAGCACTAGCCCTGCACTCCATTGGCTGGGAGCCTGCTTTTGGCTGCTTCTGGGGTAGGGATGTGAACAACTAATCAGCTATCCAATAAGCAAATGCTCATTAGATAGTCAACACACTAGTCAACTAGTCGTTCCCCCTCCCCTACCCCCACCTGCTGTCTCTATCAGAAAGAGGTGGGGGGGAGGAGCAGAGGGGGTGCTTCAAAGCAGCAGATCCAAGCTTCTTCCTCTATACAAACCATGGACTCCATGCAGCACTACCTCTTTGAACACTGTGTGCAGTCCAGGACTAGCTGGGGAGTTCCCAGACTGATGTGGCGTTTCAGCTGATCCCAGCCTCCATGGTGCGTCTTTGAAATGCCACAAGGAGCCTGACACTTAACTCCCCGCAATGTTTCAAAGCAGCAACACTGCAAAGAGCCCAGGATCAGCTGGGAACTCCCCCACTGATCCTGGGCTGAATGCAGGGCTGCTGCTTTGAAATGCTGCGGAGAGCATGGGGCCAGTGGGGGAGTCCCCCACTGGCCCCGTGCTCCCTGCAGCTCTTTTGCCTTTGAAGTATAGCAACAGCCCTGGGGCTGTTTCTACTCTTCAAATGTTGAGGTTCCCTTATTGACTAATTGAATAGTCGATGCAAATTGAATTGACTATTTGATTAGTCAATTAATCAAAATGTAACATCCTATTCTGGGGCACAGCATGATCTGTGGTGCCAAGACAGGCAGGAAGCCTTCCTTAGAACCCCCACTGCATTGCTGATGGGAGCTGCTCAAGGTAAGTGTTTCCTGCCCCACCTTGACTACTTTCCCAAAGCTCGAGCACCCTCCTACACCCCAAAGCTCATCTTCAGCCCCATCCCAGAACTCTCACTCTAGTCAAATTATGCTGGGTCATGGGCATCAACAATTTTCTTCAACTGGGTCATGAGGAAAAAAAAGTTTGAGAACTACTGATCTAAGGAAGCCCAGGGAAGTGTGACACAGCATGATATTATGATATATAACCTTTGCTTCTTCCTTTTAGCCCATTCCCTCCCACCCTTAGAAGTCCCTGAGACAAAAGTTACAATTTATATTGGGGGGAGGAAGGGAGGGAGAATGTCTTCTGTAGTCCTGTGAACTTATTTTGATTAAGTCTTCTAGAGTTAGAATGACTAACCCTCTTTTTTCTTGGTGTGTGTGTGTGTCTCCCTCTCCCTCTCCCTCTCCTGCACTAGGGCAAAGAAGAAGGTGATTCTAGCACCTAAGCCCAAAGTAAAGGTAAATATTGGAGCCACTCATGCAAACGTTCAGGAAGTGATGTTTAACATAGTGCATGATTAAAACATTTATTTTTTTCCATCGCCAAGTCATTTGTACAGGTTGAAAACTTTTCAATAGGCAAATATTTCCCTCAGAAAATGCTGACTGCATGAAATCAAAACGTTTCTGGGGAACGTTGACATTTTCAACAGAGAATGAAATTTAACATTAAGGTCAAAGTTTTGTTTCAATTTATATTATTATTATTACAAGTCAGTATTTTGACATATATTATACATGAAAGTCAAAGTAAAAAAGAGTAATTTTAGTGAGATCAAAATGAAATACTGTAGAATATTTCATTTCACGCACCAAAAATTTTTTTTTGAAATACTGTAGAATATTTCATTTCAGGCACCAAAAAAAAAAAAATTTCAAATTTTCATAATAATTCAGGATTGAACCAGATTTGTAATCTCAGAATTCCATGTAGGTTAGAAATTCCAGTTTTTGGTCAGCACTTTTTATCAAACATTTTATCTAGGTTCTTTGAGTGGACCAATTTGGCAACCTACCTAAAACAGCACATGCACTTTTGAAAAGTCTGCCTCCTGTTCATTGTGACATCTGGAGAGCTTAGCTTCATGGCTGTCGTAGATATGTGAAGGTTTAACTGGTGGGGGCTGGAGCAGCTCCCTGCCTGCCACACAGTGGAGTTTTTGTTTACATACTAAACCATTTAGCATGAATATTTAGCTCATGATCCTGTTTTATATCAATTGAAAAATTATGGTTAGATATTTTAAACAGCACTTAATTGCATGTGGTAGCATATTAGAACCTTATGACATAGATTTTAAAGTAGGTAACGTACCATTTGGTTTTACTGTACTTTTAAGATATATAAACATTGAAAATAGGCTATCAGAAGGTTGTAAATGCATTAAAATGTTACAGATTTTAGGTGCTTTGGTGACTGAATTTTCATCATAAATTAGGTGAGTACTAGAAAATTCTGCATGTTGGGTGGAAAAGTTCAATGCAATAAGCTGAGGTAGCCTCTAAATGACTGTATGTCTCACGTTCTGTTGTAGGTATAGTTGAAACTCAGATTTACTTTAATTTTCTTCATGGTGAAGATTAGCTCTGCAACCCTGTATAATAAAGTTTATTCTTCTTTACTGTGATATTCCAAGTGAAATTACAGCTCTAAGTCTTGCTCCTGTGAGCCATACTAACTGTACTAATAATACACTTCAGGGGTATGTCTAGACTGCATCCCTCTATATGCAGAGGGATGCAGATTAGGCAGGTCGACATTGCAAATGAGACAGGGATTTAAATATCCCGTGCCTAATTTGCATAAAAAAGGCCAGCGCGTTTTGCCGACTCAGCACTTTGTCGGCAAAAAGCGGCAGTCTAGAGGGGATCTGTCGAGAAAGGAAGCCTTTTTCTACAGATCCCTTATGCCTCCTGCAAGGAGGTTTACAGGATCTGTCGAAAAAGGCTTTCTTTCTCGACAGATCCCCCACTAGACTGCTGCTTTTTGCTGACAAAGTGCTGAGTCGGCAAAATGCAGTGGCCATTGTTATGCAAATTAGGCACAGGATATTTAAATCCCTGCCTCATTTGCAATGTCGACCTGCCTAATCTGCATCCCTCTGCATACAGAGGGATACAGTCTAGACATACCCCTGGGCTGCGTCTAGACTGGCAAGTTTTTCCACAAAAGCACCTGCTTTTGTGGAAAAACTTGCCAGCTGTCTACACTGGCCGCTTGAATTTCCACAAGAACACTGACGATCTCAGGTAAGATTGTCAGTGTTCTTGTGGAAATGCTATGCTGCTCCCGTTCGGGCAAAAGCCCTCTTGTGCAAAAGCATTTGTGCAAGAGGGCCAGTGCAGACAACGTGGTATTGTTTTGCACAAAAAAGCCCCGATGGCGAAAATGGCAATCGGGACTTTCTTGCGCAAAACTGCATCTAGATTGGCACGGACGCTTTTCCACAAAAAGTGCTTTTGCGGAAAAGCGTCCGTGCCAAATCTAGATGCTTTTTTCCGCAAATGCTTTTAACGGAAAAACTTTTCCGTTAAAAGCATTTGCGGAAAATCATGCCAGTCTAGACATAGCCCAGGAGCATATGGGTCTGGTTCTAAATAATACAATAGATTGTTTACAGTAAACAGGATGAAATTTAATAAGGACAAATGCAGAGTACTCCACTTAGGAAAGAACAATCAGTTTCACACACAATAGAATGGGAAGTGACTGTCTAGGAAGGAGTACTGCAGAAAGAAATCTAGGGGTCATAGTGGACCGCATGGTAAATATGAGTCAACAGTGTGACACTGTTGCCAAAAAAGCAAACATGATTCTGAGTATTGTGTCCAGTTCTAGGAACCACGTTTCAAGAAAGATGTGGAGAAATTGGAGAAGGTTCAGAGAATAGCAACAAAAAGTATTAAAGGTCTAGAAAACATGAGCTATGAGGGAAGACTGAAAGAACTGGGCTTGTTTAATTTAGAGAAGAGAAGACTGAGAGGGGACATGATAGTGGTTTTCAAGTATCTAAAAGGATGTTACAAGGAGGAGAGAGAAAAATTGTTCTTCTTGGCCTCTGATGATAGACAGGAAGCAATGGGCTTAAATTGCAGCAAGGGAGTTTAGGTTGGACATTAGGATAAACTTCCTAACTATCTGGGTGGTTATGTCCTAGAATAAATTACCTAAGGAGGTTGTGGAATCTCCATTACTGGAGATATTTAAGAGCAGGTTGGATAGACATCGGTCAGGAATGATCTAGACGGTGCTTGATCCTGCCGTGAGGGCAGGGGACTGGGCTTGATTTTTCTCTCGAGGTCCTATCCAGTTCTAGTATTCTGTGAGTACACAGGACTGAATTTGACTGAAAACTTTAAAATGTTTCATCCTAGAACCATTTCCTTACTACACCATCTCTTCCTCTGGGGATTCAGTCACACAGGAAGAGAAAAGTGGGATAGTCTGCCACAATGTATAGCTTTATTGATGCTTAGCTTATTAAGGGGTAAGTTTCTTATATATACTCACATTTTTCTTTATAGGTCTTCTATAAACTCTGACCCAGATCCTCGAAAGGTATTTAGGCACCTAACTCACATTGTAATCATTGGGAGTTAGGCATCCAAATACCTTTTGGAGGATCTGGGCTTCTCATAGCAAGTTCATTATCTGGAATTTTGCATCAAGATATCATAGAGGCTATTCCTGGTGCCTTACCACTTAACTCACATTTTTACTTTCAGCATGCATAATATGATTGCTTGTGGAGCATAATACCTGTTCCTCATAATTGAATAGGCTGTTGTCTCATTCCTATACCTTACTACTTGGTGAGCGAGGTATTCTGTATTGCAGCATGTAGGTGTCAGATAATGCTAAGTCTATCTTTAAAGGAAAAATACAGAAGTAGATCTGCACTTCTGGATTTGCACTAAAATTATATTGCTCTGCTTTGGGGAAGGCATTCTGAGTTCTTATTGTTTTTCTCTATTTTATCCCATTCCTTCCACCAGGACTCCAGTCCAAAGAAAGAGCAGAAACCCTGTACTACTTTGGTGACTTCAGCTTGTGTTACTACACTGAGTTCCAGCACACCTATAAGTACACTCGCTAGCTCTATCAGTACGCCAGCTCCAGAGACCATCTGTCTGGATGACTCACTGGATGAAGACCTCTCTTTTCACCCACCCTCTTTGGATTCTATATCTGATGCTTTGGCAGTTATCAACAATGGAGCCAAGATCTCTCCAGTGGTGTCCACTATAGACCCACCAGCCTCAAGACCTCGCCCTGGGCTAAGAGAAGAGAAGCTAGCAAGTATCATGAGTAAGTTGCCTCTAGCAACTTCAAAGAAGGTAGAACCAGCCCAAACTCAACATTCATCAAGTCTTATTGCTGGTCACACAGGACCAGTACCAAAGAAACCCCAGGACTTGGTTCACACAGGCATCTCTTCTGGCCTTATTGCTGGTTCTTCAATTCAAAATCCCAAGGTTTCCTTAGAACCTTTGCCAGCCAAGCTACTTCAGCAAGGACTACAGAGGTCAAGCCAGATCCAAGCTGCTTCCTCTACGCAGACCCATATTTCTTCCTCCTCCAAGGGCCAAGCAGCTACTTCGTCCTCCTCTCAGAGGTGCAAGGATGCTCCTCTCCTGGTATCATCTTCAGAAGGCCAAGGTGGTTCTTCAACATTACAAGTGGGAAAGGTGCACCAGCATTCAGCTGTCCAACAGAAATACGTGTCTCCTCTACAAGCAACTATTAGTAAGTCACAGACCAATCCAGTGGTGAAACTGAGTAGTAATCCCAAGCTCTCCTGTTCATCTCCAGTCATCAAGAGTCCAGATAAAACAGTAGTGTATCGCCTTCCTTTGTCTAACCCATCATCTGGAAGTGGTTCTCAAGTATCCCACCCACTAGTTTCTCGGACAGCATCCAGCTCCTCTACCTCTAGTAACTGTTTTGCAAAGGCTATGGTGTCACAGGTTTCTTCCCACGGTTTCAAGCCTCCCTTTTCCATGGCTGCCTCCCCTAAACCTGCTGCCTCTCCCAAGCCCACTGCATCCAAACCCTCTGTGACACCCAAGCCCACAGCATCACATAAATTTCCATCTAAATCAACCTCATCCTCCAGGCCCACAACATCACCCACTTCTTCCAGTTCAAGTGCATTAGCCCCCCAGAGTAGTCACTCCAGCAACAACCCCCTTCATAAACAGCCCAGTGGAGTTAATATCAGCAGGCAGTCTCCCACAATGAATTTGCTGCCCTCTAGTCGCACTGCAGGCCTTCAGTCTGCAAAGAACACTCAGGCTTCTTCAAAGTTGTCCAACTCTTCTTCCTCTGGGACTATTGGCAAAAATAACTTGAGTGGAGTTGGAATGAATGTACCTGCCAGCAGGGGCAGTAACCCTAATTCAAGTGGAGCAAGTAGGACTAGTCTCTCTGGGGGAACAGGAAGTGGAACACAGGGTGCTACTAAACAGTTGTCAACTCCACACAGACCGTCTTCTGCCTCAGGGTCTCCAGTTGTAGCAGCCAGCGTGCAGGTATGTATCCAGTGGGACTAGGTTGTGGAACTTGTAATTAGATTTGCTTTGAAGTTTCTTTTTGTAGCTATTCTTTCTCATAAATGTGTTTGAAGATAGGTCATGAATGTGTTTTTACTAAATCTCTCTAATGCATATGCTGAAATTGTTTCACATTCATGAAAGGGTTGTATTCTCACAAGGGAAGGGTTCCAGCTGATCTTATAGCTCGGGAGGGAAGGAATTTTCATCACAACATATATTGGCAGGTCTGTGGTATATGGCAGTAGAGCTTTTCTTCTATAGAACACTGAGAAGAGACATGTTGGATTCTGTGGACTGTAACTAGTTAATGGGGTTTCTGGAAATCACAATCGGATCAAACATTGGTAGACTGGAACTTTTCCTGTCTACATCTTCTGGGTTTGATTTCCTTTATTCTAATGTCACTGAAGAATAAGGGTATCTAGTATGTTTGCTCTGACTCTTCCAAGATTGACTTGCACAATGAGAATTAAGATGTATAGGGTTAGATTAGCAAGTATGACGTCTGTTAAATTGTTGGATAACTAGCATGTTTTTAGTATTTATGCTAATACATATTACGTAGGCTATGGAATACTTTCAGAAGGAGTATGAAAGCTTAATAATGCATGTATGACCTGGAAATGAGCTTAGTAAAAAAAGCATGGGCAAGATTTGCTCGTACATGAATAAAAACAGCCTATGTAAGATTAGTCTTCCTAGTTGCTCATACTAGAGTTTGACAGTAGTCCTTGGCCAGACTTGAGAGAGCTTTGGTACCACGAACCAGGGAAGAGAATTTATAATTTCCAGAATATTCTGTTCTGTTTAGTAGGATAATCAGGTCACTGGAAGGTCTGGGCAAAACAGAATTTCAAATTAATTATCACTCCAGGTCTGAGGTCTTTAGGTCTCAGGTTAACATTTGAGAAAAGTTAGCATGTAAACAGTTACTTTTTTTTGTTGTTCTCCATACTCTTATTCATAAGCTGTTTATGCTTTTACATTTTTGTGTAATAAGTTCATCAAACACATCTTTACTCGACTATTCTTGCTGCACAGATGAACTGGAGAAAGTAGGAAAAAATAGACCCTGTGATCATGTAATCAAACACTTTGTCATAATGCATATATATACAACTGGGCTGACTTAAAGTTGGATAGATAACTATAAATTTGGCTTTTCCTAACTTCTTGAGTGCTTGACTTTGCAACTGAAATAACTTAACATGGCATTTTGTATGTAATCTTAGATTCTTTTTAATGGCATAAAAATAGATGTTATGTACATCTGTAATGACCTCCTTCATAATGCATCATCAGCTAGATTTGAACCCAGCCTCTGTGCTGAAGATTTATAGTACTTACAGGTCTCGCTATATTTGCTAGTAGCAAGAGATCACTGTTTATCCCATAGTAAAAAGAGTCTTACAGGCACCATATTGTGGATTTGGAGGCTTATGGGGGAGCCTGGTCCATTTTTTCTTCCCACTTGAATTTCAGGAGCTCCTGCCCATGTGGGTGCCCCCATCAAAAAAAGGTTGATGTGAAGTTTGGGGCATTCCACTTAGTATGAGAATTATGGTTCATCGATAAGGCCAGAAGGGACTGTTGTGGTGATCTAGTCTAGCCATAGGGTTTCCCTGAATTAATTCATGTTTGAATTAGAGTGTGAGTGTGAGTGTGAGTGTGAGTGTGAGTGTGAGTGTGTGTGTTTGTTTTTAAAATCCAGTTTTGATTTAAAAATGTCTAGTGATGGAGAATCCACCACAAATCTTGCTAATGTTATCCCAATAGTTAATTACTGTCACTGTTAGGTTTGCCAGGTGTCTGGTATTCTACCAAACAGTCCGTTTTTTGCGCCCTCTGTCCGGTTTAAAAAAAAATTCAGAAATACAGGACATGTGCAGTGTCTGGTGTTTTCTGTTTTTCCAGCTGCTTTTCCACTTTTCCACTTTTTTCCAGAAAGTGGGGAGGGGCGGGCTGCCACGTTCCTCACTCCCCCGTCCCCGCCAGATGCGGCAGGGGAAAATTGTCCCTGCCGGGCTTCTGTCCGAAGGAAACAGGAAATACCAGACTTTTCACATCCAGAGGCTCCCAGCTGGAAGGCGGGGCTGTGATTGGCGCTGGGAGCCTCTGGTTGTGCACAGAAGCCAGGCGGGGGGAGTGGCTGGGAGGCAGGGTGCAATCCACACTGGGAGCACTCAGCTGATTGCATCTGAGGAGGAGTGATGCCTTGGGGAGGAGGAGAAGCCTCATCCCTGTTCCTGAGTGCTGTTCAAGTGCGTTGTGGTGCCGTAGTCCAGGAGAGAAGCCCACAGGTGCTTTGTAGTTGCATTGAGGCGCCTTTCATGGGCGCTCAGCCAAAACTGACTGGGGTGGAATTTCTGCTTCTTCCCACTGGGACTCCCAAAGACCTGGCTATGGGGGAGTCCTCTTCCTACCCATGTTTCTCCCCCCCCCCCATCCCCGCCATTGTGTTGTCCCAGGGTCTACCTCTCTCTCCTTTGGGTAGCAGGCTGCTGCTTTGCAGAGCAGGCTCTGCTGCCTCCCCCTTTGTTCCTAGCTTGGTGGCTCTTGGTAGTATCCACACAGGATGTGTGTTCGGCGTTTGCTTGGCAAATTTTTAGTCCATGTGTTCGGTATTTTTTGGGAGACCATCTGGCAACCCTAGTCACTGTTAAAAAATTTGTGCCCCATTTCTTGAATGTCTTGGTTTCGTTTCCAGCCATTAGATCTCATTATACATTTGTCTGCTAGCCTGAAGAGGCCTCTATTACCGAAGTTTTGTCTTACATGGGTAATCATACACCATGAACAACTCACCCATTAACCTTCTGATAAGTTGTATTGAGCTCCTTGAGTCTTTCTTGCTAAGGCATATTTTCCAATTCTTCAGTTGTTTTTGTGAATCTTATCTGAACCCTCCACAACTTATCAATGTCCTTCTTAAATTCTCGACACCATATTCCTCTAGCTGTCATACGTGTGCTGAATTCAGAATTAATATAATCTCTCCTTCTCCTCAGTATTCACTGTTTATATATCACGGGATCACACTAACCCCTTTGGCCATAACGTTACACTAGTTGCTCATGTGTAGCTGATTATTTCCATGATCCCCTAGTCTCTTTTAGAGAAACTGTGCTTGCCAGAATAAATCCTCCTTCAAGTGTGGCCTGCATTCTTTGTTCCTAGATGTATGACTTTAAGTTTGGTTATTGAAATGCGTGTTTTGCATTCTTGCAACTTTCCAAGCATTTCAGTTCCCTCTATCAGTGTATCTGTATCGTCATTATTTACCACTTACCCAGTCTTTCTCTTATATACAAACTTTGCCAGTAATGGTTTATGTAGATCATTGATCAAATAGTTAAATAGCATAGGACCAAGAACTGAATCCTGTGGCATCCTACTAAAAACATGCATGATGGCTCCCTGTTCAAAATTACATTTCAAGACCTATCACCTTGTTTTAATATGTTTAACGTGTGCCATGTTGATTTTGTATTAGACTAGTTTGTTACTCAAAATGTCATGTGGTACTGATAGAATATTACAACTGGAATGGACATCAAGAGGTCCTCAAGTCCAGTCCCCTGCACTCATGGCAGGACCAAATACCGTCTAGATCAGGTAGGGAACCTAAGGTTTGCCTGGATCTGGCTCCTGAGGCTCAGGGCTCCCCCTCAGTATTGGGGAGCCTGTACCAGTACAGGCAGTCCCCGGGTTACGTACAAGATAGGGACTGTAGGTTTGTTCTTAAGTTGAATCTTCCTCTCCCTGGTCTGCTGGAGACCAGGGAGAGGAAGGGCCCTGTTCGTAACTGCGGATCCGACATAAGTCGGATCCGCGTAACTCGGGGACTGCCTGTACTCCACTGGTATTCTCCCCCCCCGCCCTCGGTTCCCTTCATGAGGTAGGAGCACACAAAATCTACTAGTTTGAGCCTGACTGTTGTTTTTCTGTGGGTCAGCAGCCCCTGACTCAAAAAAGGTTCCCATCCCTGATCTAGGTCATTCCTGACAAATGTTTACCTTAACCCACTCTTAAATATCTCCAATGATGGAGATTCCACAACTTTCTTAGGCAATTTATTCCAGTGTTTCATCACTCTGACAGCTAGGAAGTTTTTCGTAATGCCCAGCCTAAGCCTCTCTTGCTACAATTTAAGCCCATTGCTTCGTTTCCTATCATCAGAGGTTAAGGAGAATAATTTTTCTCTCCTCCTTGGGTGTGTCTAGGCTACAGGATTTTTTCGAAAAAAGTGGCCTTTTTTTAAAAAAAAAAAAAAACTTCCCCTGAGTCTAGACTGCTGCCACTTTCTTTTGAAAGTAAATTGAAAGAACATGGCAGTTTCTCAATCGCGGAAAACCTCGTTTTACGAGGAATAATGCCTTTTTCAAAAGTGCTCTTTCGAAAAAGGACGCTATGTAATGCAAACTGCTTTTTCAAAAGGGAGCATCCAGACTGCCTGGGAGCTCTCTTTCGAAAAAGCAGCTCGCCTTTTCGAAAGTACTGGTTGTAGTCTAGATGCTCTTTTTCGAAAGAATCTTTCGGAAAAGCCTCTTTCGAAAGAGGCTTGTAGTCTAGAAGTAGCCCTTGTGTTACACTTTTAGGTACTTGAAAGCTGCTATTCTATCCCTCTGTCTTCTCTTTTCCAAACTAAACAAACCAAATTCTTTCAGTTTTACCTCATATGTCATGTTTTCTAATAATTTTTGTTGCTCTCCTCTGGGTCTTCTCCAATTTCACATCTTTCCTGAATTTTGCTGCCCAAAACTGGACACAATCCTTCAGTTGAGGCCTAATCAGCGCAGAGTAGAGCAGAATTACTTTTCGACTAGGTCTAGACTGCCCCCTTATGTTCAAGAAAATATGCAAATTAGGCAAAGTAGTGAATATTGCTGCACCTCATTTGTATGCTTAATGAGTTGGGCAAGGGGCAAAAGCCCCCTTTGGCAAAAAGGAGCCGTGTAGATGGCTTATTTTTGGGC